AGCCCCGCCCCCCCCCCAAGCGTGCACGGAAACGGCGCGCAGGCGAGGCGACGCCATCTTCCTTTGGGGCAAGTCCCGCTCCGCGCTCCGCGCTGTGAGATCACCCCGAGACCCCGGACCGGGGGAATGGGGCCATCCTAGGTCCGCTGCACCGTTACAGCACTGCCCCGTCTTCTGCGGCAGAATCCCCACCCTTTAGCATCAAAGATTGAGCTTTGGCAGCTCCCCTGGATAAAAAAAAAATAACCGAAAAACCTACCCCAAATCCACACAACTCCCATTTCTAAGCTCAGCAAAACTCGTAGGCACTGCCTTAGCAATCACTTCCATGGGATACTGATGATCCAAGCCCGGGGGGAAAAGAACACAACAGCATGACACTGGCAGAGTCCGCTGTCCCCAGCCCTGTCCCATCCATCACAGGGAACACAAGGAAGGACCCAGGCACTGTTTTTTTATTACTGCTGTTTAAAAACTGAGTTTTTTTTAAAAAAAAACATCCCCAAAGGCAGAGCACAGCTTCCTTCTGTTGTACGGGTAGCTCAGTGCTTCTTGCCATAGATGGCAGCCAACGCTTTGCGAGCACTGGAGATCTGCTGCTCCAGCCTCTCCCGTGTGGCTTTGTTCCCAGTTTTTTTCAGCAGGGCCTCCATCTCCTCCACCATGGCACGGTGCCCCGCAGCGTTGTGGAAGACACGGATAGTGCGGTCCCCACAGGACGCGACATAGCGGCCGGTGGTGTCAAAGGCAAGGTCAATGATACGGTGGCTGTGCACACCAAGAAAACGCTCCTCCTCCTCACCACGCTGCGTGTTGTACACCACAATGTCTGTGTTGCCCGCTACGGCGACTGTGCGGCCGTCAGGGGACAGGGCAATGCGGCATGGGTCCAGCACTGCACACTGCCCTGTCAGAAGCAGGTATGGGTCCTGCTGCTTCTTATACTCCACATCTGTGTCCCAGAACTTCCATGTGCCGTCCTTTGATACAGTCGCCATCCTGCAGCCAAGAGAGAGCACAGTGAATGCATGTAAAAGGGGCGGCACCTCTTCCCCTGCCCATGAACCAGGAATCCTCTCTGGAGAGAGATGTCTTGGGAAGGGTGTGTCTGTACACATATACAGTCTGCATTCTCTATCCAAAGCAAAAAATCCTTCCCCTGGACCAGGCTGCTCCAAGCCCCTTCCAACATAGGTATGGGGCAGCCACATCTCCTCTGGGCAACCTGTATCAGGGCCTCACCACCCTCACAACCAAGGCTTTCTTCCTAATATCCCATCTAACCCACTCTCTGTCAGCCTGAAACCATTCTCCGTTATCTTGTCACTGCAGGCCCTTGTAAACAGTCTCTCTCCCATCTTTCTTGCTCCCTTCAGGCCATGGAAGGCCACAATTACATAACCTGAAGCCTTTTCTTTTCCAAGCTGAGCAGTTCCAATTCTCTTAGCCTTTCCTCATAGCATAGCTGCTCCATCCCTCTGATCATCTTGGTGCCTCTTCTAGACTCACTCCAGTAGCCCCATGTCCTTCCTGTGCTGGGACCCCAGAGCTGGAGATAGCTCTGCAGGTGAGGTCTCACCTGAGTGGGGCACAGGGGCAGAATTCCCTTCTCCCTTGCCACTCACACTGTGGGATCAACCCAGGAGAGTTTCTGAGCTGGGTCATGTCCAGCTCTCACCCACAAGCACCCCCAGCCTGCTCTCAATCTGCTCATCCTCAGCCTGGATTGATACTGGGGGTTGCCCTGATCCAGGTGCAGCATTCAGCACTTGGTCTTGTTAAACCACGTGAGATTCCTATGAGCAAGGAATACACAGGTGGCACAAGCCTGATTTGGCTCCCCAGGGCAGTGTTTTACCCCTCCACAGCTCAGTGGTGCAGCTAGTGAACCCTGGAAATGAGCTTCCATGTCATGAGACATTTAACTAAGAGCAGGTAACACACACGTACCTCCTTGAGTCATTGGAGAAGGAAAAGGATTGTACACCAGCAGTGTGGCCTTTCAATTCAAAAGCCCTGGTTACCTCGCTGAAGTCTCCATTCTTGCTAAAACACACCTCCCACACCTTCACATCGGGGGTAAAGCCACAGGATGCCACAAACCTGCATGAAGGAACAAGCGGAGACACAGGCTGCCTCTTACAGAGGACCTGAGCGAGGCAGGGCCACAGCTCTTGCAAACCTGTCCTGACTCCTGCGCTCAAGTCTGGTCAGCTGTAATTTCCACTTTTCCCTGAAATCTGGCTGATTAATGGACGTGATAAATGGAACGTGGACACGATTTTCCAAACCTGAGCTTCAGCCTTTCGGTGGCTGATGTGTTTCCCAAGGGAAAGTCTTTTGGGAAACTTTTCTCTCTCAAGGACTGTTGTGTAAATAGGATTTTAGTTCTGAAAACAACGGCACAGATGTTCTAAGAGTGTTTCTTCACTTGTCCCACCAATGGGATGAGAGATGTGTTGTTCCTTGCACTGATCAGGTTAACCTGTATCAGAATACCT